CTCCTGCCTGGAGCACTACCTCCTCGTAGACCACAGTATCCTCTGAAGCCAGCACAAGCTGAAGCCATCACTAAACAAGTTGAAAGCCTACTTGCCAAAGGTGCCCTCATCAAGTGCACATCTCCATGTAACACACCACTTTTCCCTGTTAAAAAGCGAACTGTCAAGGGTCAACCCGACCAGTACCGCATGGTGCAAGACCTCCGTGCTGTTAATGAAGTAACCATAAAAGACACTGCTATTGTTCCAAATCCCCATACCCTCTTGTCCCAAGTCCCACCAACTTCCACGATATTCACAGTAGTGGATCTAGCTAATGCCTTTTTCAGTGTGCCCCTTGACCCTTCCTGCCGCTTTCTCTTCGCCTTCACTCATGAAGGACAACAATATACCTGGACAGTTATGCCTCAGGGGGCTCAGAATTCCCCCACACAGTTTGCTCATGCCATGTCTCTGGTTCTGGATTCCTGGCAGAAATCTCATTTGGATGTTGTCCTGCTTCAATATGTTGATGATCTCCTTCTCTGTGCTCCTGATTTGCCCATTGCAGAGCGTGACTCAGAAGATCTCCTATGTTTCCTCGCTGCAGCTGGTTGCAAAGCTTCAAAATCAAAGCTACAATGGTGCCGGCCCTCTGTGGTCTTCTTGGGACATTGCCTTTCCCATGGCACCAAACATCTAACTTCTCAACGTGTGCAAGCTATTCTGCAACTCCCTTTACCTGCGACACATCAGACTCTTCATGCCTTTTTGGGTCTTATCACATACTGCAGGTCCTGGATACCCGAAGCATCAAAGCTCATGCAACCACTCTATGATGCCCTCAGGAGTGAGCCCTTTCACCTCACTGAAGAAACTATCACCTGTTTCCACAATCTGAAAAGAGCTATTGCTTCTGCACCTGCTTTGGGCCTACCCAACTACCAACTTCCTTTCAATTTGTTTGTCTCTGAGAAGTCAGGACATGCTTCCGGAGTCCTTACCCAGAAACATGGGTCAAGGTAACGACCTATTGGCTATTTTTCCTGCATGCTTGACCCTGTTGCGAGGGGTAGCCCCTCTTGCCTCAGAGCGGTGTTTGCCGCCAGCGCCCTCCTGGACAAGACCAATGATTTTGTTCTTGGCCATCACCTCACAGTGTTGGCCCCTCATGACATTACTGCAATCCTGCAGCAAATTCAACCTAAACACCTTTCCTCCCAACGTCACCTCCGTCTACAAACCTCCTTACTTCTACCTGACAATGTGAAACTCCAGAGATGTCTTTCCCTGAACCCAGCCACTCTTCTGCCACTTCCCAAGGGGGGAATTGTGTATCACTGGTATAGCCTGGATATCAACCCAGAGGTTCGAGCAGATTTGCAACTGCCTGCACTTGCACCTCCACATGATGAACAATCAGAGGCCCTACTTCACTGTACCTTGTGGTTTAAGGATGTACCAGGCCCTGATATGAACTATGAGGAAGAACTATTCCAGCTCAAAGAAATTCAAATTACCCTGACTGACTTATTCTGGGACCCCACAGGTACCATGCTTATCTTAGTCCATCTTCCAGAGAATGTAACACATCTCTATCATCATTGGGAAACAGCTATCCCCCACATATCTCTCACCAGATCCCCCAACACCTCATGGAAAGACCTAGGCCCAATGGCCAAAACCTGGAGCCAAATGACCCAAGAACAACTGACTTCTACGGGGATCAATAAAAAGACTATTAATTACTGTACAACAGGGTACCCCAGGTACCACACAGAAGCCTGTGAAGACCCACTCACCACAGACTGTGACCTAGATATTCCTCATGATTGTTTTGAACAAATGAAAATGGATACTACACACCTACCAACTGTCTACGAAGCTGCATTACTCAACCCGGACCAAACACTATTTGTGGATGGATCAAGGTTTGCTGATGAACAGGGACAATATCACACTGGGTATGCAGTCACCACAGGATGCCAAGTATTACAAGCAGTTGCCCTACAACCATCTAAGTCTGCTCAAGAAGCCGAGCTAACAGCCCTGACTGTGGCCTGCAAATTGTCTGAAGGTCTACGTGTCAATATTTACACGGACTCAAGATATGCCCTGGGAGTGGCACACGACTTTGGCTTAACTTGGAAGACCAGAGGATTTCTTACAGCTACCGGTACCCCAGTAAAACATGGGACAGCCATTGCAGAACTGATGGATGCATTGGAACTTCCAGCAGAAGTGGCAGTACTGAAAGTAAAAGCCCACAGAAGACTAGACACAGAAGAAGCACGTGGCAACCACCTAGCTGATCAGGCAGCTAAGGAAGCAGCACGGCAAGGATGGGAAGTGGACAGAAGAGTGGCCACAGATACATTACCCATCTACACTATGCAAACATTGCCTACAGAACAACAAGCTGCTGCTACTCCCCAGGAGAAACAAAGTTGGAAGAATAAAGGAGCTGTACTCCGTGATGATGTTTACACCATCAATCTCAAGTTCTGCTTACCCAGAAGTATGTACTCAGCGGTGGTCCAGTGGGCCCATGGGCCAGCCCACCTGTCGAAACTCTTGATGAACTCACTGATTGACAAGTATTTTGAAGCACCAGGCATCACTACCTTAACACAGAATTACTGTAAATCTTGTACTATATGTGCTAAATGCAATCCTGGAAAGATTATAAAGACTGCACCTAATCATCTAGCTAAACCACAATACCCCTTCCAGAGGATCCAGATTGATCACATTCAGATGCCAAAGAGTGGACGTTATGAATATGCATTGGTCATAGTGGACATGTTTTCAGGATGGCCAGAGGCCTTCCCAGTGACTAATCTCACCGCGAGGACTACAGCCAAGTACCTTTTGACAGAAATTGTTTGTCGCTATGGGGTTCCAGAAGTAATTGAGAGTGACCAAGGGACCTCCTTCACTGCCTCGCTAACACGGGAAGTCTGGGGGTGACCCTTGCATTCCACACACCATATCACCCACAGAGTAGCGGTAAGGTAGAACGCATGAATGGCACTTTGAAAGCCAGAATGCTTAAGATGTCACAAGAAACTAACATGCCCTGGCCCGAGAGTCTCCCACTAGCATTGTTTAGTGTAAGGTACACTCCCAGAGGAAAATATAGCTTGTCACCTTATGAGATTTTGTTTGGTACAGCACCCAGGTTAGGTTGCTACTTTCCCCAACAGCTTCAGATTCAGTCAGATGCTATGGTAGACTATGTGACTGCCCTCTCACATGCCTTGACCAAGATACATGCCCAAGTGTTTTCTTCTATTCCAGATCCTGAGTCGAATACAGGTACACACAAGCTGCTCCACGGTGATTGGGTTATGGTCACGAAGTTTCTCAGGAAACACACCCTAGAACCGAGATTTGATGGTCCTTATCAAGTGCTCCTGATTACAGCAACGTCAGTTAAACTAGCTGGGAAGAGTTCTTGGATACACGCTTCACATTGCAAAAAAGTTGCCTGCTCCAGAAGAGATTGATCCTGTTGAAAAATGAATTTATTATGTGTCTTGTGTTTTCTTATGTTGCTACACTTTGCCTGGGCCCAACAAGTGGCCATAACCAAAGATAATCACGTAACACTTTCTGGTACAATTCTTCTAATACTGATGTAGCCACATACACCTTTGATTACTGTGACATAGTTACTTGTACATTTCCACAGACACAATATGCAGCCATATACAAAGACATACCTAACAAAAAGCATCCATACATTTGTGTGACTGGAGGAGTTTGGGGACACCATTGTAGTTCATGGAAAGCTGCCGGGTGGAATACAGGTAGACCATGGGGCTACAGACCTCAAGTTGCACTGGACAGACTTGACAAAGACGGGAAACCCCTACTTTCTAGAATGACTCTGAGTAAACCCATAGGGTCAACTCCCATTAAACTTACCCTGAATATAGAGCACCCCAGCCCAAGGGATGCAGGGGAATATGTGATGGGAATGTACTGGAAGGGAGGTGGCTCACATAATGCATTGGGGACATTTTACCTACAAGACATGCTCACCTTCCCAGACTGGGTAGGGACCACTCATATGATCATTAACCCACTAAAACCACATATTAAGACCCTACATAACATGGTAGCTATAGCTAACCCTACCTTTGAGGATACCATGGCAGTAGAAACTGGGTTTTCAGACACTAATTTGTGGCTAGAATGGATGAGGTATAATGCCAACTCACATAATAAGACTAACTGTTATGTATGTGGAGGAGCCAGGCCCCATCTGGGCACAGTACCTCTGAGCTTACCCCCTGAAGTAGAATTATGTATTCTGAGTCTTTATGCACAATCCACCACCAACTCCTCAACATGTGAATCATGGAAGAGAGTTTACCCAATCACTCATGGACATGTAAAACCACCTGATGGAGTCACCGTCTACCCAGGTAATTACACATGTTATACAATACCTAAGAACGCTGGTTTGTATCTGGGCAAATTCCCATCAGGATACTGCTCAACTTACCATAATCCACCTGTACCACTGCTAATGAACCACACAAAGACAATCGGTGATATCTATTGGTTATGCGGTGACAAACAATTGAGGTCCCAATTAGCTGGGCAATGGTGGGGGGAGTGTGCCCTAACCAAAGTCATAATGCCTATCCACATTATTCCAGATGGTAGTCATAACACGTTAAACCTTACACATGTACACTCTAGAACCAAACGAGAGGCTCCTATCCGAGGGAGCTTCGACCCCCATGTGTATATTGATGCCATAGGTGTGCCAAGGGGGGTGCCTAACGAATTCAAAGCAAGAGATGAAGTGGCTGCAGGATTTGAATCCCTAATTCCAATGATAACGGCTAACAAAAATGTCAATTGGATCAACTATATCTACTATAATCAGCAGCGCTTCGTTAACTACACAAGGGATGCCCTACAGGGCCTAGCAGAACAGTTACAAGCCACTACTCAAATGACATTTCAGAACAGAATGGCCCTAGATATGATTTTAGCTGAGAAAGGGGGAGTATGCAAAATCCTCCCTGAGACTATGACATGCTGCACATACATTCCAGACAACACTGGGCCCAATGGTAAGGTGACAATGGCCATAGAGAAGCTAGATAGTCTTTCAAACGAGCTAAAGAAGAATTCAGGAGTCATTGACACGTGGGACAGATGGTTTGGGTGGATGAATGGTTGGCAAAGGACCCTCTTCCAGGTAGGAACAGCTGTTCTTATAATGATCATCATCTTCTTATTTTTAACCTGTTGCATACTCCCTTGCATACAGAAGTACTTACAGAAAGCGGTAGATAAGACTATAGATGACGTGACCCCTACTTTCCTACATCAAGATATCACAGACCTCGAAGATGACACTCCACATACACCCCTTCAATCACACCAGTTCAAACAGACGACTGCTTTCCTGTAGGGACAGTGTAGGGAAAGCGTCTGTCTTGGCAGGCGAGTCTCACGTGTGGAGATGTGGTGGACTAGCCACTGCGGGTTACCCACGGAGTGAAGTCTTCGATGCTTGTTAAGACAGATGAGCTGCAGGCAGCTAGGGACATATTAGGGACAGTAGCAGTTGTTATGGTAAATAGCCATTTTAGGGGGGACTGTTGTGGAAATAAGGTCTGCACATATTTCCTAGTTAGTGAAAATGTCTATTTACTCATTCCACGATATATCACATATAAAGCTAAGCACACATGTTTTAATCAAAATGGCTGCTAGAAGCTTCTAACCCCTCCTCCCCCCCCCCCTTCTTAACACCAACTAACTACCTCGTGCAACAAGATGGCGCCGGGAAACCGTGGGAGACCCTCATGGCCCCGGTGACATCACCTACAGTAGGCAGAGCATTAGAGCGACCACTTAACACCTAACCAATTATTGATGTATTATTCCATGTTATCTCTGACAATGCTTATGATGTAATTTTGCTTTAAAAGGGACCTGCCGTCCCCTCTGAATAAACATTCCTCAAGTTATTCAACAACCTGGAACCTGTGTCTGGTGTGAATTACTTCAGGGAGCGTGCACGCATTGTTTCATTGATTTGGCCAGGGGCAGATACACAAAGAAATAATCAATACTTTGATTGATTTTTCCATTTCAGTGGAAATTTGGTTTAATAAGGCTTGTTTATTCGGTGGATGGGGTTGTTTCCAACTTCTAGCTATCAATGTGGCCGCTGCAATGAGCGCTTGGAATATTAGTTGTCTCTCTGTTTTATGCCATAAACACCTCCAACCAAACCACACAGTTAGGGAAGCAATCACGAAGTGGGAAAAATACATAGACACAAAACCAAGTGAGAAAAGACAAGCAAATGCTCCCTCAAAGACACCGGAACTTACTGGGTAACGGGAGTCCTCAGGGCCGTATAAGGCTATTAGAAACACAGTCACCATGGTGGCAGAATGTGGAAGGAGTTGGAACCCCACAAAACCAACATCAACCCCCACTCTTCAATCCAAAGTAAAGTGGTTAAGGCTACGCAGAGTATAAAACATGTAAGAGTACTAAACAGAACGGACCACACAGAGTAGACCTCAAGTTATCAAATAAGTTACGGTTACTTGTATGTTGTCCCTTACCCCCCTAACGCATACACTCAGGGTACTTAGCTATACAGCCAACGCTGAATTTTCCAATGCATCTCTATGAGGAGGTCCTGATTGGCCAAAACTGCATTTGGCCCCGTTCCATGTTGATTTTAGCTAATCGGCCATTTTGATGATGTCACAAAAGGGACTGAGCCAGCTCCAGCGGACCTGTGCGGTGCTGAAAATAATGTGAATTTTAAACTTTTATAGGGGGCTAAGGGGGTGGGGCAAGCCACCTAAATGGTGGGTTTAGCACTATAGAGTGAGGAATACATGTTTGTGTTCCTGACCCTATAGTGATCCTTTAACAACTGAATTTCTCTTAAAATCATCTCAATAAAATTTTCTTTTTTTTGCCATGGTGTATGCTATGGATTGGAGACATTTTTTTTATGTACTTATCAATTTTATATAATCTCAATATATTATACTTACTGAGTTTCTGAGGAGAGAACATGCAAGAGTGAGTAGAATCATTAACTTATATTGCAGGCCATGTAAAATAAAATTGTGTAAAATGTATATTATGTAAAATAATAAAATAAAATTTGTGTATGGTGAGAAATGTCCGTTCTGCCAAATCAATTTTTTTGAAGTTAGAAATTTTTTCGGGACACTTAACATTTGGTCAGATAACGGTTTGGCTTGGCCAAATGTTGATTCCCAAACCAAATCCAAAGACTAAACCAAAAAGGCATGAAAATGGGCCAATCAACGTGCAGCAAAATATATAGATAATATTCTGTATATAATTTGGAGTACACTGAGGAGCAGTAAAAAAATAAATCTCTATGTATTATATCTTTATTGCATATAAAATATATAAATATTTTTTTTTACTGTACCTACCCTTTATTGCTTACTGTTCACTTGATCTGAAAATAAAATCATCATTTAGGGATTGTCCCCCAGGCATGTATCCTCTATTTTTCCCATCAATCATCTCTT